ACGTGACCTTGCGATACCTGTGCAGGGTTCTAGCAACTAAGCTATCAATCTGTGTAACTAACCGTCGCTTCACTTTTAAGTCTATGGATGAATTTCTAGGGCATAACTATTGAAATAAATGAAAGATTACTGAGAGCATTCAAATAAAAATTGTTAACCACTTCATTTAAGTTGTCAGTTCAAATGTGTATTATGCTGTCCAAGGTGTTTCTCACTTTTAGTTTTTTGACCATACCAATTAACCTATCACTTGTTCTAATGCAATACCTGATGTATGCCAAAAGGTGTTGGTCACCAAATCTATCCACTCATTGTTTTCCGGGTCAGCCAACTGCTTGATAACAACTTCATACCCCATGAAATTAGAGGCACTGTGCAACAAGGCAACAGTAACGCCTCCTTGGGGATCTCCACTGAACTCCAGGTCAGGTGGACCGTCATGTGACAGTTCAATCACGTTGCTTACCAAGACCTCATTACTGCCAAGAGGTGGATAGAGGATCCTGGGATTCCATAACGAACAAGTAATCAGGAAGGATTTTATTATGGCTCCTCGAAAAAATGTGACAGATGCAGCAGCTTCTTGAAGGTTCCAGGTATCACCCTCACCTAATACTTTGCCTCTGAAAGATCAGTGGTATTAAATGTGTAACTACAATGCTAAAAATTCATTCAAAATTATTTTATTACATCTACGCGGCTAAGTTTAGTATATCAATTATACTGAATGCACGAATGCTATTGATAAAGATCACAGTCCATCCATTTAGTCTCGCAGCTTTCACAAGAGTACTCAGTGGATTTGGCATTCTGCCTCACGGCATATTTGTGATTGTTTGGTCAGATCTTGGCAATGCTTAGTTTAACTGGTGTCTGATATCCTGGACTAGTTGAGCTTTTAAAATCCAAAGGTTAAAAAATCTACTTTGATTAAAAGTAAAGAAAAAGGGGTGCTAAACACGATTGATTTCACTCTATTTGATAAAGCATTAAATATATGTTGGCTGAAGCGTCTTTGCTCTGAAGGCGATCAAGCATGGAAATTAATCCCACTACGCTTTCGATCCGGTGCCGGCGGAACACTTCTTTTTCAATGTAATTACGACGTGAAATATTTGACCTTAAGTGCAAAGCCATCCATTTTCTACAAGGATATAATTTCGCACTGGCAAGAATGAAATAATATTGTACACACTATACCTACAACAAAGAAAGACGTAGTCGACCAAATGGTTTGGAATAATCGCCTCCGCGTATTTCAAGCTGGTATCTATAAACTTTCCTGCCGTCTCGGCGAGAGTAATACTCGATTTCTGTCATTTAACGAGTTCTTCCGAAAATTTAATGTAAAACGCATTTTTTTACAGTATTACGGTCTCCCTCCGGCCATATTGACTGTCTGGAAAAACACCTAACACGGGAACAGTTAGCCGACACAGTTAATTTAATTGCCATTGATAAACTTACGTGCAAAACAATTAACGAATCTTAAATTGATCATCAAAACTTCTCTCATCCAGAAATGACTTATAAAATGTGGATTTGATATCCACGAACGATAGAAAGAATATTCTTTACCCTCTCTAGTGACCTAAGAAATAAAACTTTAAATATTTCAATACATGACTATTTATTACATTTTGTACAAAATGAAAATGTCGAGCACCCTCATTGTCCCTTCTGCTAAAACATTGACCAAACAGTCACTCATTAATCGTATCGTGTCCGTTTGCCTTCCCAAAAATGAAATTATTTACGGCGTACTTAATAATTGGTCTTCTTGTTCAACCCTAAACCCCCTTATTCTGATCGGTAAGTACTTTCTTTATCGGAAAGGATTAAAAAGCATGGATAGTAGAAGAGGTTGGATTGGAAACTTGCTGACGCGACCGTCGCAACCTGGTGGAAATTTATGACGTCACTAACTAGATCAGCAAACATAAAGAAAACAATTTCGACCAAGGTCAGTGTTACAATAGTAAAAAAAAGAGCCGGACGTAAAGTGAACTGGAAATTTGTGAGGTGTTTGAAGAGTGGGACAGATCTGAAATTGAAGGGATGGTCACGGTTGAAAGTTTGTTGGCAGCTGAAGAAGAAGAAGAAAGTGCATAGAAACCAGAAGACGACGAAGCAAACGGATCCGATGATGAAGACGAAGATGAAAGCTCATTTAAATGTAGCACATGTAAAAAGGTTTACCACACTATGGGCTGGCTAAAAAGACATGAACTAAGCTGCAGTGGTGCAAAAGGAAAAGCCAAAAAAACGCAGGAACTGTCCGACTATCAAACGAAAACCAGGAGGATTCTTGCACCCCTCGGATTTGACGAGTATTTTGATCGTGAATGTTTACCCGCTAGTGTAAATTGTCTTCAAGAAAAAACTTCTACACCAAACGAAATTGTAAAATCGAGGAGAGCAAAATTTGCTGACTGTACGCAACAAGCAGAGGTCCTTGTTGCCGAACTGAAAACGGGCACAAACGATGCCAATGGAATCATCGGCTTTCGTACATACGTAGCCAAAAGCTTGTAGATGATTACTTTTGCCAGGGATCAACTGTTAAGTACGTCAACTCGGCATCAGTATGTTGCTCAGCATCTACACCAGTTTCGACAATCCAAAGAACTTTCTACAAAATGGACTGAGCTCAGCAGAACGGGCTTAAATCCCGCCGATAAACATTTACTACAGAAGCTTGTTAGCCTGATTTTTGCGGACATCTCCCGACATCGATCCGAAACTGTGGCTAGCGCTGTGCAATTGTGTGAAACATGTCGGCGAAACACCAAATACAGTAAACCATCCCTCACCCCAGTGGAAGAAAGCATAGTAGCATACACAGCTGGATATGTTGGGCGAAAGACCAGGGATAGTTTGCAGCGCTACCACGATCATAGTGCTAGTTTGCGATCCACCCAGGATAAGGATAGTTGTAAAAGAGAAAGGTTAGAGTGCATCATCACGATTTTACGCGAAATGATACCGGGTGTTCAGAACTAGGCAGCAGTAATGACTTGTCCCAATTTAATGACTCTGTCATGAAACAGAGGTGGCCTTTCCCAAGTTGACCTTTCCCCTTTTTGTTCCTTTTATTTTCTTGAAGTTTCAATCCCCCCTTTTGTCAACCTAGCAAGTTTCCGCAGTAGCTCTATAAAGTCTGATGGTGAACTCCTGGAACAATTGATTGACAATTCTTCTCTACTGAAGCAAAAGTGGCCTTACGCTTCATCTCTTCCTGTTACATACAGCAATTTTTTTCTTAAGCTCTTTGTTAATTTATACTTTCGAATCTAAAAGTGGGCCTATCTTAAAGTGTTCAAAGAAGAAAGGAAAGTAAAGGAAAGCTTGGCTTCACTAACCTCAACGCATTCAGTTGAACTGTACGGCAAAGACGGCATCCGGAAAGCACCGATGTCGTCAAATTCAGTATAAGCACTGTGCACTACATAATGAGTTGTGTGTTGATATAAGTTAACCCTTTCCCTGTGGGGGAATGCGGGGGTACTCATAACTATATGGGCTATCTAGGTATGTGCTGTGGAATAGGGTATGGTTTTTGGGATCCTTGATCCTTAAATAAAGTCATTTTTGCCCCTGTTGAAATATTGGTGTTCCTGGTGTGATCCTTAGATATGGTATCTACCGGTAAATCGTATCAGCTAAAATTGCAGTGTGCAAATGCCCAGCTAAACGAAAAACAAATTTTATGCTTGGTACTTTAATAACTTCCAATGTTACAGAAACAAAAATAATATAGTTGACACGTTCACAGCATTCTTATTTTTAGTTACCTGTGTTTCGGCCTTAAACAGGGTATCAGTTTTCATTTGTTTCTTCCATAAATAAGGTCAGGGTTTAATTAAGACCCTTTGCAGCACACACCTATCCTAAATTTTTGGGAGTACCTCCCCGGAACACTTTTCACTCCCAAGATTTCAATATGAATTCTCATGCCTGCCATTCATTTCTCATTTTGTTAGTTCTGATTATTTGGTGTTCAACAATCAGACAATATCCCAAACATGTAGTTGATATTTTTCCTTTTTTCAATGGTGTAGAAAGTAGGTTTGTTTGTATTCAGTCTACCTACCTAGTGGACCAGTTGGCCAGTGGACCCATGGCACAGTGCTCAATCTTGATATGGTAATGTTTAGTTGTTTTTTTTTGCTAGTTGTCTGAGTCATACTGTAGGTCTCTATATTTCAGGTTGGTCTATATGTCTTACTGTTGCAACAAACTCTAGATGGCATTCCTTTTAATGGTTGCATAGTAAACCGTGTTACCATGTGGTCTCAGAAGCTCACTCAAAAATATTCCTGTAGCTTGTCTAAGGAACAATTAAAAGCAAAAATTCAAACCATACAACACCATAAAGTACACTGTTTTTTAATTGACGATATAAATGACTGTATCAATTACAAGAATGTGTTATGCTCCTTAATGAAAGAGTAATGTAAATACAAATATGAAAGACCATGCTTATATAGTTCTTAACTTGAAACAAACTGAATGCTTTAAAAGCATTGAAAGTATTGTAAATTGTTCTATTCAAAAATACATTGTACTCTTTGTAAAAAATATAAATTTCTGTAAAAGATGTACAAATATGTACCTCGAAATATATATACCAACCATCTTTACTGTATCCTATGAACTTTTGCTAATTGCAAATTTGGTTCCAGTGGAGGCAAATCATCACCCGTTCTTTTGATTCTTCGCACAGTTTTCATAGCATGTGTCTGGACAAATAACGTGCTTGCATAGCTCTGACTAAACTCATTGTAAGTGAAAGTTCCACATGTTCCCCATTTTTGCCTTAACTTACTAAAGAATTTTTCAAGTGGATCTTGGCTGATTTTTGTTGCAAGAACATAATCCACCTCCAAGATGGAAAGAGAGAACCTGACTACTTCTACAAAAGATTTCACACAAATCTGTAGCCCCTCCCAAGTCTGGTCACTTAAGAAATGCTGTTTTCGCTCCTGTAGAGGAACATCTGTTTGGTTCATGGCCCAGTTTTTCCAATCCTGAGAGTACTTTAAAAACTCATCCTCTAACCAAACTATTACCCTATCAAATGGACTTCGATACACACTCTGAAACTCAAATTAAGTGAACACTCTGTTTGCATTTAGGCATTCAAAAAATTCATTCATGTTTGTAACAAACTTTGCAGTCTCCTCAGTACCTCTCTTACCTTGTATTGTGATGGCATTCGTAACTATGTTACTGAAGACCTGTGCTGCTAGGTACACTCGCATTTATAAGTATGGGTTTAGAAGCAAATGGTCAGCAGTTAATTTATGTAACAAGCGCAGGCCAGATGCATTGGACTCATTTGTATCATTCTCAAATGCATCAAGCAGTTGTAGCCAAGTTATCCACATATCGTTGTTTCTAAGCTTTCTTGTTTTGCTCCTCCAGAAGCTGTTTCCCCAGTAGTTACGAGTGGTTTTAAGTAAATGAACAGGATCACAAATGAAGTGGATGGGCCTTGTTTCCCTAGCATCTACATTTTCAGTTTTAAGAATAAGTGTCCCTTCATGCACCTGCAATGAAAGCGGTGAAATCTACGGTGTGAGAAGCACCATCACATGTGCTAGTCAAAACCTTAAAATCCCTTTGTTCTAATTCCTCAATACACTTCCAAAACATATTAAAAAACGCTTAGGACTTAATGGTGGTGGTTGGGAAAAATGCCACAGGCATTTTCTAATTTGAGAAAAGGCTAACTGCCATAAAGACAAACATATGAGTGGCTTCGTCTGGAACAGTAGAGCTTACCTCAGATGACAATGACTTTTCAAGTTCATCAATTCTGTTTTTTCATCAATTCTGGTCGCCAATATGACCAGATTTTTTTCACAGGCAACCAACTTTTCACACTTTCCACTGAAATAATTGTGCTGGCAACTAAATCTGAAAGCGTAGGGCCAGCTGGCCCCGAGGTTTTTTGCCTGAAACTCCAGGCCTGTGACTGTCATCTCAACATCATTATCTTATCTAATAATTTCAAAGCGTTCTCAAAGTAATGGGCAGATATTTAGAAATGTTCACACGAAACTGACATGATCAGATATGGCAGCTGAAATAAGAGATGATATTATCATTTTACCGTCAATGTGGCCTCAAAAAACTATAAAACTACTTGCTAGCCTAAAAGGATTTAGCAGTAAAGCACCTTTCGGAAATTTTGTTTCAAGTGACTTATTTCTCTTGTCATCTTTTGTCTCTCCTCCCGTGAGTTTTTCACACATAGTTCTGCCTCCTCAGTACTTAAATATTTCCATGGGCAGTGGCTGTTGACACTTGTCACAGATTGAGATTGCTTCTTAGCATTCTGGTTAGAAAGCATTGTTAGAAGGGTTTTTCTGAACACCTGGCCAGACTCACAAATGCTGTTGCTTTTCCGAACTATACCAAAGCAGTCAAGAGGTCTTATACATGTGTCGCTTTCATTAAGTTTTCCTCTGATTTTCCCCTTTTTGTCCTTGAAGATTCCATTCCGTCCTCCTGACATGGCAAATTGTTCCAGTTTTTCATTGAACACTATACCAGGGCAAACAATGTGTTGATCTACATAGTCCAGGAGTTTGACAAATTGCTCAGTGCTATTGACTTCATTTGAAATGTCTTTCAGATTCGTAACATGGATGTTGCATGCAAAAACTTTATATATGAAGTCCAGATTTATCATGACCGACTTTTCAGGTACAGGTGGTGTCACTCCAGGAGTAAAAGTGCAAAGCATCATAAACAAATCAGAATGTTCAGTGAGGGTCCATTTGCTTTTCAAAATGTTATCCTTGTTAAAAACACTGAATACAGTTGAGAAATTGGTGATGGACAGCTGGTTAAGAACTGCTGGGGGGACATCACGAAGAGAGAACTGATACTTTAAAGGAACAGTAGACTGGGTTGAAGAAATCCTGTCAGAAGGAACTGCTTTGTTTGCTTCATTAAATCCATTTTGAAATCACTGGTTATCCTTGCAATCTGATCGGCTCTTAATGGTGCGATTTATTCACGAAGTGCACTATTTTTTGCTCCAAATCGCATCTTTTTCTCAGCCAATGAGAATGGGACAGTAAAAAAAAAACAAGGAATCAGATTTCAAGGTTAGTTTAAAGTAATCAATAAAATTTTAGCAAAAGGAAAGGCAAAAAGTCACTGTGCGGAGAATTTTGCAACTACTATATTTGCCAAACTTTTGTTGTTGTTGTTGTTTTTCCAAAAAAATTGACGAATTAAATTAATTACAGTTTCTGAATGACGATTATGAGCTCCTTCAGGTTGAAGACCTACTTTGATGGAAGTTTCAAACTTTCAGTGTGCATTTTGACGAATGTTTTGGCGATTTTTTCTTCAACATCTGTTCAAAATCCGTATATTTTCTGAGTCCAGTAAAACATAAATAAACGAAAACCCCACAACAACAAATTCAGAGCCACCTTAAAAAGATAGATGTTTGCAGGTTTCCGGCAGTTTCCAACGATGCAACACAAGAACTCAACTCTGTCGTTGTAAATAAACAAAGTCAAAACAGTGAATGAATGAACGTCTTACGAAGCTGGTGCCAGTCCCGCCATCTTGATATATCTTGAAACAAACAGCGCCGCAAGAACTTGACAAGGTCCTGAGTCCTTAGCCGAGGTCACAAAAAGAAACGGAGAAGATAAAGAGCTGGAATCCCCTAAAATCATGCAGAGTCCCATTGAACGAGTACTTAAAAGAGAAAAACTATCCAGTGGACATCGTGCACTCGAAGGAGTTTCACAACCCAAAAGAAATCCATCGCAGAATTACACCGGCTACACCTTCAAATTCCTTTTCGAAAGACAACTAGAAGTCTCAGCCTCAACCACAGAGGAAAGGACGACCTTCCATCATTGATTCAGGCGACGAGAATTGTACTTTTATGCATGGAGTACACTGTTTTCGTTCTGACTTAAGAACTGCTTGTCTTTTGTTATGCTTGAATGAGTTTTCGTCACATGACATCGTTTTGCATACTAAATGATGTAAAGGCATTTTCTCTTCGGCTATTGAAAAACCGGCTACTGGAACGATACACCAAAATCTGAACTTTAAGGCGATAAAATTGTGCGATTTCAAAATGGATCTAATATGGTGGCAATTGAACTTCGTGTTGTGCAATTTTGGTCTAAAATCATACTTATGATTTGGTATGATTTCAGACCAAATTGCACTCCACTCAGTTCAGTTGCCATTATTTATTTACCTGTATTTTTTTACCTCTCCCATAAAACCGGTGACAGTGTTTTCTTCTTCTGCAAATCTTGCCCATCCTGATAATTCTGCAACAAATTATAGACATACAGTCAAATTATGTATATTTATTGTCACAATTTACAAATAAGAGCACAATAAAATAACTAGTCAGTTTTTTAATTATTTTATTTATTTGTTTTTTTTTTTTTCGGTTTTAAGTATCACAATTGCTAATTTATTATATGTTCTATTCTTAATTATCATCTCTTGAAGAACTTTGGCACATCTGCTCTTAAATTCCTTGAATTGCCTACAGAGAAGCAAAGTTTCTTTACATTTATCTTATGAGAGCAATCTGTTGGCTTGTGGTACAGACATTGTCCAACTATCCGCATTAGTATGCATGTTTGAATCATCATGCATGTTCGACCCAAATACGTCAACACGCCTCAAAATTTACAAGAAGTAAATTTCGGCGTACTGAGAACAAATGAATTATAGCCATAACATCATACTGTTACCTTAGTCATCCATGTGTGGCTTGGGCGGGTTCATTCGGGCAAAAAAAGAAAACAAGGCAGTTAATTATTTAACAATGTGTTGCAACCAACCAAAAACACAAAAACTCGAGGAAAAATAATAGTGAATTTTCATATACTTACGCTATTTTCACGCCATCTTCTCCGTCACAAATTTCCACTAGGTTTCACCATCTTGAAATATACCCTTAGCCAATTAGTGTGCTCAATACACTACACGTGACCTATAGTTTCCAAACCAGTCTCCTCTATTATCCATGATTTCAGTTCGCAGATTAAGCCTGGTTTTCACTAGCGACGCAAGCACAAGCGCAAGCACAAACACAAGCAATAGAGATGACCCAAATGAAAACGAAATTCATTACAACATAAGCACAAGCAAAATTACCCGAACCTTCCGGCATTTTAGAAAACTGTTTAGGCGCGAAGTAATCTGGATCCAGTGTTTTCACTGGCCAAACATACCACGTGTGGTAAATATCTTTGTGTTTGTGTTATAGCTGAGCGCTATTTCGTTTTCACTTGTTGCAGAGCAAACGCAAGCATAAGTGCAAGCACAAGAAAAAGGAAAAAATCTGATTCTTGTGCTTGTGCTTGTTCTTATGCCTTCGTCAAGGCCGTCTTCACGGTGAAATAAGAATTATTGTGTTTGCGCTTGTACTTGCGTCGCTAGTGAAAACCAGGCTTTACATAAATCTTGTAAATGACAAAATAGAAATTGAACGTCATAAGGTGCTTATGTCAAACAAATATAATACCTTTTTAAAGGAGTGATCTAGTTTCATGAATTAATGCACATAGTACATAGCCACACTTTCAATTTGCAAGGCTTAAATAATATATTGGAGTTTATCCCAATTTTATGCATCGTGCTGTAAACTATTGCTGTAAACTAAGTGATGCTTGTAAGTAAGCAGTACAGCGTATTGGAAGTGAATAATGTATCTTACCGTATTGTAAGAAGGCAATGTCACGTGTTGTAAGTGATGTATATAAGTAGTATAGCACATTGTAAGTAATGTTTGTGAAAAAAAAACAAAAAAACGCTGCAGCTAGAGTAGTTGTAAGGGTTTTGAAATCCCAATTGGGGACTTCACCAGTTACTGTTCTCCTGAAAGGGAATACACATGTCGAGGTTGCATGAAAACGGCAAAACGCGCACTACTTCGGATACTTAAGATTGTAATAAATCAGATATAAATCAATGCTAATAACAAGATTTCAAACATAACCCTAATAAGGGAGTGGGGGAGGGGGAAATTGTCACCTTCAAACTACACAAAGACTAACTTAAGTTTTAGAACAATTTTTTTTGGAAGCCACTCACTCGTGTATCTTTATTTTGTCTGGTTCTTGTTCATACGGATTCTCTGGCTCCTCCATTTCTTGCTCTTTAATTCCAAACTGTAGTAACTGCTTCGTGATATCTTTGATACCATCAGTTCTGTCATCATCATAATTATCGCTGCCATTGTCGTGGTCATCGACGTCTTTCTCAGAATTATCATCGTCCTTGTCAGACAGCTCTTCAGCTAATTTAATTAATCAACAAAAGGCAAATCAAATATTTAACTGTTTTCGGCCCAAATACGTTTGACGACACGTTCATTAAGAGTTAGGGCCTAAATGATGCATTTTAAATAAATAAAAAAAACAAACAAACAAACAAAAAAAACCGGGAGACATAACCAAAACAAACAGAGTACATATACATGCATAGAATTTCTCCAAGCGAGAGGGACTTAGGGATACATTTGAAGTGAAAGAGAATATCATTCAACCAAGGTCCACTACTAAAACAAGCAGCGAGAATATTATATTTAATCGAACCTTTTTGGTTCATATAAGCTTCGGCGGCATATCAGGCGAGTTTGGTTGAGCCGTAGTTTGTGTTTTGGTGAAACGTAGTCAAAGTATTAGAAACAAAGACCTCAGTGCTCTAATCGAGGATGCGTGTTCAAACTGCCTAATATGCAATTCTTAATTCTTGAACTACTCACTTAAATATCAATTTTTATTTCTCTCTTGTATTATACTGTATTTGTAATTTCAGAAACAGTTTTTATATTATTTATAATTATTAATTCTTACTTATTCCTTGTGTACCCAATTAATTTTAATTCGTATTCTTAATTGTATATTTTAAATCTCAATACATTGTAACGTAGTAGTGTCCCCAATTAGCTTCTGTAAGCTAAATACCTACCCTGACACTTAAATAAAGTTATTATTATTATTATTATTATTATTATTATTATTATTATTATTATTATTATTATTATTAAAATACCCATGGCGAGACCTAACGGGCCTGAAATGTCGCCGAAGCGTTACCAAGAAGGTTCGATTGGATATTTACCATATCCAAACTCGGCCAAGCTTCTGTCGTCTAACCAATTTTCAGCTTCGTTAAACACCCACTCATGAGTGCCTTGTTGGTATCGTGCTACATGATAGTCAGTGTCCCGTATGAACTCTAACTTGTCGAGCTCTTCTTGGGTCTTCATTTCTCCTTGAATAACTTGCTGCGTTTTGGTCTGAGTCTGATGCAGCTCTTGCAGTTTTGACTGTGTCTTGGTTTTGGCGTGGAGAACTTCATCCACTTTTAACTTTCTATCCTGAAGTGTTTCACGGACTTCTAGTTGGGTCTGACGAACACTCGTAACACTCTTAGCACGATATGGATGGGTGTGGATTCTCAGCTGTGTCTTGATATCCTCTGGACTATCGGCCAAGTCATGTTGTACACTACGGTAATCTTCGTTCCCCCAACGCTCGGCCTTTAGCCTATCAATTTCTACCTGATTCAATCCCAGAGCAACAAGAACAGCACTAACTTCCTGCCACAAAGCATTGAAAGTTGGTGTATCAACACCAGTGGTAGGCACATGAGCATACAACTTATTGCGGAAAAACTTAACGCGAACAAGGTTTGCTTTAAGGGAAGTGTCCATTGGGTCTGGCATATTGTGCCAACCTGACGGAGGAGGGGATAGTCGGCATATGTTGGTCAAAAGGTGGAATAGTAGGTAGATATCAAATGTTTTGGAATCTGGGGTAGCTCCACCAGGTGGGAACAGTAGATCCCACCGCGGTTTAAGTAAAACTTCTCTCTGCAAAAGACTGTCCAGAGTAGCATAGTTTAAATAAAGACCAGCAGCCAGGTTTGCAGGAGGATGATATCTATCAAAGACATTCCTTAGAACCGTTGTTCCGCCGTCAATAAGAAGTCTCCTAAGCTTGGCGCCATTTGTCTTCTCTTCAGAGATGGCCAGGGGTGAAGGTGCTGCAGCAGCCATGTCAGTGGAAGTTACACTAACTACCATGTCGTGCTCCACATCACGGTAATCTTCCTTCCCCCAACGCTCTGCCTTTAACCTATCAATTTCTGCCTGATCCAACCCAAGAGCAACAAGAACAGCACTAATTTCCTGCCACAAAGCATTGAAAGTTGGTGTATCAACACCACTGGGAGACGCATGACCATACAACGTATTGCGGAAAAACCTAACGCGAACAAGGTTTGCCCCTTGGGAAGTGTCCATTGGGTCTGGCATATTGTGCCAATCTGAGGAGGGAGGGCGTAGTCCACAAAACTTAGTCAGAAGAAAGAACAGAAGGGTAATATCAAATGTTTTGGAATCTGGTGTGGTTCCACCAGGTGGGAAGAGTAGATCCCACTGATGTTTAGATATAACGTTGATCCTAAAGAGGTTCTTCAGAGTGTGATAGTTTGCATAGAGTTTATCCGATAGATATTCCGGGGAAAGAATCCTATCGAAAATCTTCCTAAGAGCCATTGTTCCACCATCAATAACAAGTATGCTCAGCTTGGCTTGATTTGTCTTCTCTACAGAGCTGGCCAAGGGGGAAGGTGCAGAAGCAGTCATCTCAATCGATGACACAAAATCGGCCCAGTCATGCTCCACATCATAATAATCTTCCTTCCCCCAACGCTCAGCCTCTAACCTGTAAATTTCTACTGGATTCAACCCAAGGGCCAAAAGAACAGCAGTAATTTTCTGCCACAAAGCATTGAAAGTTGGTGTCTTGACACCACTGGTAGACACATGACCAAGCAACATATCATGGAAATATTTAACACGAGCAAGGTTTGCCTCTAGGGAAGTGTCACTTGAGACTGGCTCAGTGTGCCAACCTGATGGGGGAGGGGATAGTTCACATGTATTGGTCAGAAGGAGGAATAGTAGAGAAATATCAAATGTTTTGGAGTCTGGTCCAGCTTCACCAGGTGCAAACAGTAGATTCCACCGATGTCGAGATAACACCTTTCTGCTGAGGAGGTTACGCAGAATGTCATAGTTTGCTTTGAGTTTATCCCTTAGATTTGTCAGGGGATAAATCCTATCAAAAATCCTATCAAAAATCTCCCTGAGAGCCATTGCTCCGCCTTCAGTAAGAAGTCTGATCAGCTTGGCTCTATTTCTCTTCTCTACAGAGCTGGCCAGGGGTGAAGGGACAGCATCCTCCATCTTGATTCAAGATACACAGTACAGACGGTCACATGAAGCTCTTCATCAGTACCTGTGTGTTGTAAAAAAAAACATAATTTCAATACTTGTACCACTTTGAAAAGTAACCAGAACATTGTGATCCTGGAAACTTCGCAGACTTGGCCTTTTAGGTAAAATTACTGTTTTAAAAAGCCTCATAACTTCACAGCTGGTATATATTTTTTCTCCTCTGCAAACAAATCATACAGCAATAAAGGAGATAAATGTAATGTTTTACAACTTCTTATGGAATGACAAAGGCGACAAAATAAAAAGAAAGGTAATGATTAATGATTACTCAGAAGGGGGACTTAAAATGAGTGATATAACCTCCTTTAATAGATCTCTCAAAGCCACATGGATAAAGAAGTATCTAGATAAGGAAAACAATGGAAGCTGGAAAAGATTTTTTGACTCAGAACTTGAAAAATATGGAGGTGAAGTAACACTAACTGGAAATCTAAACANAAAAAAAAAAAAAAAAGAAAAAATGTAACGATTTCTCGAAGGCGCCCCACCTCCAGCTAAAAAGACGAAAGACGAAACGTTGAAAAAAAAAAAAACAAGCCGGATGAGTCATTAAGGCTCTTGTAAGGCAGCTCACAGACGAATTGGATTAATGTAGAAAAAGTAGTGGAATAAAAGGCAAGAATTGGTGGATTCAGAGTATTGAAGAACGGAGTTATTTTGAGAACGTTGAAGAATACCATACAATAGAATCCCAAATCCGCAGAGCATAAATGTGCATGGGTATGTTTAGTCAATATAATAAATAAATATTTGGAGTTAATACTTCTTCAAATGACTTATAACTTCCTTTTTTAAGCAAAAGTACAGTACTTTATGCAAGCAAGTATTTGAATAAAAAAAATCAACCACAGGTTATTTATACAGACTGGTTATACCTTTTTAAGGACGGTGCCTACTTTTGTTAGTGCGCACACGTTCTGCGCATCACGGAAGGCACGGTTTAAGCGCCACGTGCGCGCTGCTTTGACATTAATGCAATCAACTACGCTACCAATTACACGACTAAAATGAAAGCAAAATTTTCCTACTGTGACCAAATCAAGATTAATGAACCTGTACTTAAGGTGATTCCCTAGTAAAAGAACCTGCCATAGATTTCCGATGAAACTTGGTATGTTATTACAGGAAAAGGAGACATTAAAAACGTAGTAAAAAGAGGGGGTCACCGTGCTTGTTTTCACGCCACAACGCTGACAAATACGGTTATTTAGGTGACTTTTGGTAATCTCCGTGTGTAACAAATAAGGTCGATTGTTTTTCAATGCAGCGTGTTATATCACAGAGTTTGATTTTCTTTGATTATTCATTCATCTACGTCCCAGAAAAAATGTCTTCAAATATCCTGCATTTTTTTTTTTCCTTTAAAGGAAACATAATTTTGGACACTACTGTTGGGCCTGTTATGTCTACCTCTGAAGTATTTATTTCATTTGCCAAAAATGTAGAGCGTTGCGCGCGCAAGGGTTATGTTTTGAATGCCGGTTTTTGCATTCGTTTTTACACCCGGTCCTCTCAAACTAATTACATGTAATAAGCAATGATTAAATAGTGTTTTACTATTATCTCTGTTAAAATTATTGGTTTTAGTCTTGAATTATAAATGCCCAAACAAATATGTCTTTTTTCTATGGCTTTACTTGCGATTTTCTTGAATTTCCTTCAGTGAAATCTTTCCAAATTTT